TCGAATCAACGGATTGGACTGAGGGACAGGCTGAAGTTTTGCTATTCTAAGGAAGAGACTGTAGGAAAACCAATCAAATACGAGATGAGTTAATTGACACGTCATTTACCAATATCTGATACCAAATCCTGGTTTAAGAAAATATCATGACAGTTAAGTGCCCGGTTGTGGCGATATGTAATCTGGGTAGCGGTTGTCAACTGTGTGCCTGATTCCATCGCATCTTAACTTTACATTTTCAGCCTCCACCGTAAAACAACAGACGTGTATAGAATAGAATAGAATAGAATAGAATAGAATAGAATAGAATAGAAAGAGTTCTTTATTGGCCAAGTGTGATTGGATACCCAAGGAATTTGTCTTTGGTGCAGATGCTCTCAGTGTAGATAAAAGGAAAGATACATTGGTCAGGAATCATAAGATACAGCACTTAATGATAGTCATAGGGTACAAATAATCAAATCATATTAGGAAACAATCGATATAAATTGTAAGGATAAAGCAACAAAGTTACAGTAATAAGTGGGAGGAGATGAGTGATAGGAACAATGAGAAGATTAATAGTAATAGTAATGCAGACTTAGTGAATAGTTTGACAGTGGCGAGGGAATTATTTGGGAGTGTGATGGCATTTGAGAGTGATGGCGTTTGGGGAAAAACTGTCCTTGTGTCTAGTTCTGGGGTGCAGTGCTCTATGACATCATTTTGATGGTAGGTAGGAGTTGAAACAATTTATGTCCAGGATGCAAGAGGTCTGTAAATATTTTCACGGCCCTCTTTTTGATTCGTGAAATGTACAGGTCCTCAATGGAAGAAGCACTTTTGTAAGAGCAAAGAGGTTTAAAAGTGAGCATAGAGGTTTGATCAATGGTTGGAATTTGGTCTAGTGCTTGAGCCAATTGGGTGACCTTGGGCCAGTCTCAGCCCAACCCACCTCGCAAGTTGCTGTGGGGGAAAATAGGAGGAGGAAGATGAGTTGGATATGTTCATTGTCTTTGGTTATTTGTAAAAATAATAAAGACAGGCTATAAATAAATAGTTATTGATGCCTTGCTGGCCTGTCGTGGAAGCATTGATTTGTGGAGACGGCAACCTCACCTGGTCTGATACACCTCCACAGTTTAGCCTTAGAGGAATGTTTTCCTGGTTGCAATTCAATACCTTAACAGCTGCATTGCAATGGGCTTTCTGTTCTCAGTCATTGCAATCCCTAACTTTTGAGGATAAGGATGATACACCTAAGGAAGTTAGAGGTACTCATTTCAGTACAGCCACAGACAGCATTTGGTTGAAGTGAGAAAATACTACTTTAAGCCTAAGGGAAATTTAATGCTTCCTCATTCATAGGCTGATAACAAGATGAAAGCAATATTATAGGCACACACAGTGAAGAACAAGGCCTAGACCACTGAATATACTCTATCTGGGTCCAGCTGCATCCCTATGAGATGGAGGCTTAAGGGGTTTTACACAGTAGGATGGCTCAGCAGTCAGTATTACTTTAGAATCCTCAGCTGGAAAACACCTTGCACCCTTTTCACTGCAGACAATGCTATGATAGTTCTTTGGAACATGGTTCTATTTACCTTCACCTAGTCCTCTTATGTTGTCAAAGCCAAGTGCAAGAGGTAGACACCAATATTCAGGAACGGACTAAGAGATGTCAGTGTCAAAGTAGCATTTATTAGGTATCTTATGCGTTTTAGGTAGCAAATTCTTTGTCAAATTCATTAAAATGATAGAATCAGAAAGTTATTAGAATTTTTGACTAAGGATCTACTGCCCAATGTGTTTTGACATTTTGAGGGCCGTCACTTCATTTGCTTGTGATATGTTACCAAAATATATTTCTGACAATACCTGAATGATGGTCAAGTTCTGCTAGATCTTATTCTAACAGGATTTTTGTTAGACAAAAACATATACACACACACCGAAACATACACACAGAAAATCCAGAATCATTGTTTTTATATTACATTAGTTTGTTTGTTTGTTTGATTGATTGATTTCTATAGCTGCCTAACTTAGCAAACAACTCTGGGTGACTCAATTTTAAAAAAACATATATTACAATTAAAATCCTAAAAGCATTTTAAAAATAAAACAAGTAAAACCATTGAAACAAAAAAACAAAAACCACCAAAGGTTTGAGTACGTACAAAACAAGACATCTGGCCAAGAGGCAGGGCCCTTGGCACACAGGAACATAGTTAGTTTTTAAAGCTTTATGGAAGGCTAACAGAGTTGGGGCCATCCTAATTTCCAAAGGGAAGATGTTCCACAGAGCAGGGACTGCTGCAGAAAAAGCTTGTCTTCTAGTCCCCATCAGCTGGCATTCTTTGGCTGATGGGATCTGCAGCATGCCCATCCTATTTGATTTGAATGGACAGACAGAAATACTGGAGAAAAGGCAATCCTTCAAGTATAGGGCTTTATAGATAATCACCAGGACCTTGTATTGCACCCAGAAACACACTGGTAACTAGTGCAGCTCATGCAGGAGTGATGTTACATGTGCCATATATCTGGGACCAGTTACTACTCGCACAGCTGCAACTTGTACCAGTTGAAATTTCTGAATGGTCTTCAAAGGCAGCCCCATGTACAGTGTGTTATAACACCAATTTAGTGGTTTATAAACATGATAAAGGAAAACAAATATCTACTGCTAAAATTATGTGTAGTAAACAGTACACAACCAGTGCAGGGGTTTCACAGGATCCTGGACTTTGTATCAGCAGCTATAGCAGCTATATTTCGCAGCAATTACAACTTGGGATATTTTAAATGGTACTCTCACCTGGGATTTGTTACAATAATCCAAATGGGATGCAGTCAATGAATTAATAACTGCAACCAAATCCAACTGGCTCAAAGTAATTAATAGCAATTGTACAAAAGTTATCTTTCCCACAGTAACAACTGAGAATCAATGTTCCAATCCCAGAACAGCCTGATCAGGAAGAGAGCAACTTCAGTCATAACAAGGTAAATCTTAGTCTATGAGTCTAACTTATTTTAGATCAACAGCATGTTCTACTTATCTTCCTCATTTAACCAATGCTGTATCAAATTTAGACAACATAGTGGTTGTTTCCTTGGAGTTAGTATAGCAGCGGGAAGTTCGTGTGTATGTATCCCTGTTCATGGCAATGATGCTGCACATGCACATCCACTTGCCCATTGCACATGTGGAACCACCCCCTTCCCCCCACCCCACCGGTTCCCAAAGCCAAAAAGGTTTGGAAACTCTGAGATAGAAGACATTTAATATGCCATGTTTTCTGAAGAGATAGTTTCCTTTCCTCCAAATACTGGAAGGGAGTTTGGGACAAATACATTAGCCTTGCCCTTTATTTTATTAAAATCTGATTTGTAAACAATCCAGATTTGTGTGTTATAGTCAACTTTAATTTACATTAAGAAGTCTAGCTTATACTGTAACGACTTCCCTTACTCCTGTGTCTAAGTCTTCCTTATTGATTAATAAGAGTTCATAAACTTACAAGCTATTATTCCACTAATTCTGGACAACTTAGAAGTATGTATGTATAAAAATTGGTAAATAATATAATTCACTACAGCTTGCACCACAGCTGTTCAAATTAACTGGGATGATCCTTCATTTCCAGCAGAAAAGACAAGTGCACCCATTGCATATGTCAAATAGATTATCAACAACATGCTTATCAACTTCCTATCAACATCCTATTCAATGAAATGTCATAAATTGACTGGTATCTAATCAGATGGTTAGAGAATGGACCAACTTAATGGACCAACCCTACACTTCTGCAGTGTATAGCAGAGTGCAAATTGTTATTCACAAAGGGTTACAAACCACATTTTATTTTGTATTGTTGTTGTCCAGATACAAAATACAAAATATTACTCTCTCTCTCTGTATATCGTTGAAATACAGATAAATTATTTAGTGAATGCTGAATTTTCAATTTTTATACAATATAAAGACAAAAATGGAACTAGAAAAGCT